GCGGGGTCAGAGACTGCCCTTCCCCTCCCCCTCCCCTTCGCTTTGGAATGGTGCAAATGGAATGGAAAGCTGCGAGCGGGCGGCCGCAGCGCGCGCCTCCTCGGAAATCAAAGGGCACTCTGGGAAATGAAAACGCAAACAGAGCCACTCACTACGGCCAGCGCTGCGAATACTACGACTACTATTTGGAATACTACCACCGCCTCTCGTACAACTGCGACTAGGAATACTTACCATGGCTACTACTGAAAGTGGCGATACTAAGACTGTCTGATGTTATTGGGTATGAATGCCACTTCCAGAGCGCAGAGCGTCCTACGACATACGACCTCTTGTCCATTCTTGACCGACTTGACCCTCTACCCTTATCTTAGGCTTGGCAATTTTCATACGTATCAATGGAATAATAGCAATGCAAATGGTGTATAAAATCGAGTAACACATTTTATTGCGCCTTATATAGGGCAACCAAAGAAATAGCACTAAAACAGTGGCATTCATTATTGCGTCCAAATGCAACACTGCCTACGTTAAAAGTACAACAATTATTCTATTTCAGGAAAATGTATGATACAAGTATCGCATTTAAATTCTCTGAAAAGTATAATTGTTATTATTTCATTGCCATAGATGTTTCATCGTTCTCACAGGTCCAATAAAATATGTAAACCGCATTTGAGAAGTTCTTGCATTGAATTTGAAGCCATCATTGAATTAAATAACATTATGACTTCTTATCACTACAGTTCTTTCATTCTTCGATCTTCGACTTCACAAAATCGATTTCTAACTGCAAATTTTCTTCTTAAAAAAAATTGCCACTATAAAATTTTGTTTGGGCGTGCGATGCTCTAGCGGAACGCTGGAGCTGTCGCGGCGCCCTCCCTAATTACTACCCGCCCAAGAGGCCCCCGCAGTACGCACGGCTCACCCCGCCCCGCCTCATGCGGGAAGGGCTTCCATTTAATGTGCGCGTTATGTGGCTTCACTTTTTTACTCGTTTTCTTTAGCTCTAGTGTCCCGCACGGTTGAATGCTGAGCGAACGGTCTCGGTGACCGTTAGGAGAGGAAAGAACCAGCACGCACCCGTGCTGTCGCACTCCCATTCTTTTTATGACTTGTTGCTGCCACCCCCCCCCCCCCACAACTCGTGCCATATTTTCTATCTGCTGTCCTGTCTCTTTTCTACCCCCTCCCCCTCCACCACACCTAGCCTCCCTCCTGTCCACCGTGATGGTCTCAGGCGATAATTCTCCATTGTGGTGCGGTGGGCCAGGCTCCGGGGCCCCTCTTGCGGTGCTTTCAGCCGTTTTGGCCGTGGTAAGCGATAGCGCTGTGTAACGATCTTTCGCTCTAATTTCGTCAATCTCCCTGAGCTTCCCTTTTGTTCCCGGATTTGCCCCTTCCTCCCCCTTTACTCCTCACCCGACACAGTACACTTCGTTCTGGCCCCTACAGAGTCGATGGAAGCTTCATTTAAAAGAGACTGCATCCATCACTGTTTTGTTTTGTTCTTTGCGCCACGTGCGCCATTGATTAGGCTAGCATTTTCATCGTGCTTCTTTTTCGCCGGTGATTGTAATCAAACCTCAAACTCAAATTATTGGAAAGTAATCACTTGTCGCAAAGCCCTTTTGCGACTTTAGAATGGACCATAATGATTAAATCGAAAACAGGGCTGCGCTGCTTTCCTGGGTTGTTTTTCGCCCCTTGTCGCCCTCCGTTTGTTCAATTACCTGTATTAATTAAACAGGTGTCAGTGAGCCACGGGTGGCACAGGCGGCGCTCCCCGGCCGCCCCTCCGCCTCGGACCCTTGTTTGTATAAATAGACCGTGTGTGTTTCACCCTGGCACCCGCCGAGCTCCCGTCAGAACTCCACAGCCACAAACACCGCGCACAGATTGTTGCGGTGGGTGAGTTGGCATGCGGGGCCTTGATTCTTTCTCGCTCCGCCACCTCTTCGTAAGAGGCGACTTTATCTCAATTCAGCTTTCATTGATTCCCCCCTCCCCCTCTCTCTCTCTCTGAAAGGAAATGATCCGCATCGTGACACGACGTGCCAGCGGCGTGTCACTTCTCCACGCACTTCGCGCGCACGACGTGTCAAGTCACGGATCACCCCGCCCCGCACTCACCCTCGAGAGCGTCGTGTGGTAGGCCTGTGGAAAACCGTGTGTGTAAAAAATGAACCTCCCCTCTCTTTCCCTCCTTGAATATTTCGAAATACTTTTCTAGAGTGCCCCGTGCCTGTTTAGCACCAACAGAGGAAACCGAGAGCGGCGCCAGCAGTGCGGTGTTAAGAATGTCGCCCACCGCTTCCCTCTAAAAATTCCGGTGGAGTTCCGCAGATGCTTTCTGAAAGGGAAGTGGTCATGGGCAGCGCAATCGGAGTCAGAAAGAGGGACAAGGCTGGAGGGCTGCGACGAGGTGGCTTTTCCAAATGACAAATGGACGCAATCACAGTATAGAAATTGAAAGAAACGTGATTTGTTCTTTTGCTAGAACGCCGCCTCTCTCGCGCCGCTTTGTTTGCAATGTGCGCTCGTGTGTGTGTGTGTGTCTGAGAGTGAGAGAGATACTGGGTTGTCTATAGCACGTCGTGGTCCGTGGTCGTCGGGGATTCAGTTGTGACCGTGCCACATGTGTCTGGACATGCAAGCAAAGCCCCTATGCCGACTCCCTTCAACTTCAAAAATAAATAGCAACGACCTCCAGAATTCCAGCCTGCCTCTTTCTCTACAGAACGCTTGTCGTGTTTTCGCCGCGCTTTCCGAAATATCGTTGGGTTGGCCGCCCTGCGCCGCTTGGCTAATTGAGATTTATGATACACTGCCGCCGCACTACTTGCTGTCCGAGCCAAGTTCCGCAGGCGTACCAACCGCTAGTCTTTACTAGGCGCCGCATCTGTTGCTGTCATCTTGAATAACTTTGTTGCCAACTTTCCGGAATAAAAAGCGAGGGGCTGGAGCGAGCAGGCTCGGCGCGCGGGGAGGGCGGCTTCCTCAATAGGCTCAGGGAAGGGTTGCGCACTAGGGGGAAGGGTATGGGTGAGGGAGGCTGGTTTCATGCCCAGCAAAGAAAGGGACAGAGAGAGAGAGACAGAAAGAAGAGGAAGAGGGGTGGGAGAGGGAGTGGGGAGGGGGGGGGGTGAGGAAAGGGACAGGGGAGGGCGGGGGAGGAGAGAGTGAGAGGAGAGATGGATTCTCCAGGACGCCTGGAGGCCCGGATGCGACTTTGGCGCGCCGAGTTGGACTTGGGAGTTGAGCAGGTGAGAAAAACAGCGAAATAAAGACGTCTGCGAGGGAAGGAGCGCCATGGCTTGGCTGCTGCGCGCGCGGCCGCATTGTGACGACAGGCCGCAGGGCACGGGGTGGGCCGTCGAGTAGGGTACCTCGAAAAACGCTTTTTTTCGAATCTGATATCGGCTCGGGTGGAGAAATGTTCTATCCAGTAACACTATTAACGGTGTGAAATATTATTTCGATCGGATAAAATCTTCAGCCTCCACAGCGGCTTCAAAGTTTAGCATAGAGCTCTTATGGGAAAAAAGCGTAAAAACTGAAATTTTCCATTGGAGGGTTCCTGTCGTATAATTCGCTGTTTTCACTTTCAGAAATGTGCTATATTCACTTAAGCTCCGATATGGGAAAGCGTATGGGAGAGCGTAGGCGTAAGCGTAAGAGCGTAGCGCTCGGGTAGCGACCTAACCTTACATCGGCACAAATTTTGTATGACATCTTCTTTAAAATAGTAATATTATGACCGCAGCGTAGTCCGAATGCATGGCAACACCAGAAAATGCTTTTCAACACTCGTCAAAACCGAAAATGCGCCAAGATGAGGTTAGGGCGCGTACCCCCACTCCGCTCATTTACGCCCAGCCACTACGATTTACGCTTACGCTTTACGCTCTCCCATACGCTTTCCCATATCGGAGCTTAAGTGAATATAGCAATGCAATCTACGTGTAAAAACGCTTTCGGAGATGTGCCCCTTGCCATATCAGCACCAGTCCTTTATGACCAAGGCGCTGTCAAAAAAGCTGATTTTGCGTCAAAAATGCAATTTTTGGTCATACAAGCTGGATACATTATGAAATGAAAGGTCATGAGTGGCACATCTCCAGGAGCGTTTTTACGCGTAGATTTCATTTCTACCAATTAAAACCGCGAAATTTTCAACAGGAACTCTCATATAAAAAAATTCAGTTTTGGGCCTTTTTTCCCATAAGAGCTCCATGCTAAACTTTGAGGCCGCTGTGGAGGCTGAAGATTTTATCTGATCGAAATAATATTTCACACCGTTAATAGTGTTACTAGATAGAACATTTATCCACCCGAGCCGACATCAGATTCGAAAAAAAGTGTTTTTCGAGGTACCCTACCGTCGAGGTCGAGGCCGAGACCGTCCTGGGCCGCCGCGGCCGTCTCGTCACCGTTCTGTCGGCATGATTTGTCGCCTGCTTTTGGCTCTGGACGCGGTGGTGACGGCTAAGGGGGCCAGACACTCGCTGCTGATGAAAGTCGTTCTGCGGACACAAAGTCGCGCCCCTTTAGTGCCTGTCACCAATTAAAATATGCCATGTAACGTAATTTTTAGACAGTCCCAAAGACTGTCCCTACCAGAGGGTAAGGAGACTCCGCTTGTCCCGACTACTGTCTCCCGGGACGCTTGGTCGTGGTTTTAGTAACTACTAAAGAAACTTAAAACAAATGTCACCCAGATAGTTTTACCTCAAAATTGTTGATTTTGTGAGCATTCCCCCCAGCTGCAATATTGAAATGAAAACATTATGGTTTTGAAGATATTGGACTCTAATATTTTCTTCATAGTGGGCTGTAGATAATAGTTAAATGTTCTTATGTTTTCTTAAATTCTCGGTTCTATTGGGTTTCGGCCATAATGTATATAATCTTTGTACGCTTACTTGTACCTACACAAGAATAATTGACGTGCAAAGTGAAACGCTTGTTGTTTTTTGTTGGTTTTGTGCCTGTAGGCGGGTGGGTGCTGCTGCCACTGGCGGCCATGGCGCTGGTGCTTCTGGCCGCGGTTAGCTACCAGTGCGCCGCTACGTGGCGCTGGCTCAAGCACGGCGCGTTGCGCGGCTGGGAGGAGGGGTTGGCCGGTGACCTGCAGTCTGCCGTGCGCATCTCCCACTCTCTGCCGGACCTCAAGCGACCCACGCGCCCTGAGTTCGTCCAGGAGGTGAAGAATGAGAAGAAAGTAAGCCGACCAATGGTATAATACCTATTTATATATCTAAACAACGGATACATAATTAAATCAAAACAACTTTTCACATGCACTGTACAAAGTTTGCGAAGACATTCTTTGCACTGCAGAGAATTTTCAAGCGTTGTAAAATGCTTTGCATTGCGAGTAACTAAATCCTTCGCATTGTGAACTAATTCTTCGCGCCTTCTGAAAAAAAATCGTTCATGACGATGCAAAGTATTAGTTCGTAACCTTGCAAACCATTTCTTCGCAACTTACAAAGAAAATAGTTTGCAATGCAAAGAAAATAGTTTGCAATTCAAAGAAAATAGTTTGCAATGCAAAGAAAATAGTTTGCAATGCAAAGAAAATAGTTTGCAATGCAAACTTCCTTACGATGCTTGAAAATTCTATGCAAGAATGTTGCAGTGTGAGTTTTTTTATCACGTGTAAAGCACCACTAGACCCCTTCAATCTAGTTTTTGGGTCAAGTTCACCAAGAACTCAGTTTTATGGGTGGAATAAGTCCAACCTACATGTGATTTTCTGTCTGTAGGTGCTCCGACAGACGACTCTCCCGGCGGTTACATCTGAACAGCAAAAGTTTCAGCGTCAACTGTCATATCGCATCGACCCCGTGCCGCTCGGACAGATTCAGTTTTCCGTATGCAGTTTGGACCGCTCGTCGGACAATATGGGCAACATCAAGGTAAGCGAAAGCTGGCCATATTGTTGCTGGCTACAAGCTTTTGGGCTTTCTCTCCTCCACACCAACTGGATCCGGTAGCGAGCGGTCCCGATAGCGAAACCTGTGTCCGGTTTCGAATCCGGGATCAGAACCGAGCTCGGCGTGGCCCTGGTTTGCATTACAGGCGTCACGTGTCTCGACGGGGCTCCATTTAATGGGCCAAGCCGTGCCCGCTGGAGCCCCGCCAGGGTGGTCCTCTTGTCGGGGTGGCGGCGACAAGGGGCTTAGATGGGAGCCGTCCCCGAACCTGTCTGGACAACCACACCTACGACTGGAATCGATATGGAGAGCAAACCCGCCTTCTCGTCAACGGCATCGTTAGAAACAGCCGGAAATGTAACGAGGCGGTGGAGAAGCAGCAGTGAAAGGTCGGCCGCCACTCGCTCTGCTGGCAGGTGGGCGGCGGCACGGTGGTGGCTGCGCGATGCGCCCCCTAGGGCCCAGGCCGGCCGGGCTCCAACGGCACATAATTTCCGGGGGCTGCCCCGAAGAAGACTTGTCGTCCTGCGCCGTTGCCTCGGCCGTTGCTCACCTGCCCGTCCGTGCCCACCCCTTATCTCACCCGCCCGCCACCCCCTGTCCCTCACCTCATCGCCGGTTTCCTTCTGATCACGCTCTCACCATTCATTGGGCACTTCGATGCGCCCTAACGAAAGAGTCCGATCTGCTTTGCTCCTGAACCAAAAGAGTCCGATCTACTTTGTTGCCAAACCAAAAGAGTTCGATCTGCTTTGCTGCCAAACCAACCATCTGCTTTCGGCGCTCGTCGACGGCTCCGCATAAACTCGGTGATATCTCGAAGCTTAAGAGGAGATGGGTATATATTTTTAGGTGCACTACATATTTGTAAGAGACAGGATAACAGGCAAGTTTTTTTTTTTTTATTTTGCGTATATTAAAAATGCCCGAGGAGTTATAGCCCTCTAAAGATGCCCGACTCTCCATCGCCCAATAGCAGATCGAACTCTTTTGGTTTGGCAGCAAAGCAGATCGAACTCTTTTATTTCAGCAGCAAATCAGATCGGACTCTTTCGTTAGGGCGCATCGACTTGCTTACCACCCACTTGCCAACCTCTCTTTTGCTATCTCGCTAGCACCTACATTTAACTCGATCATCCTTTCGCCTGTCTATCACTAACTTGTGCACCCCTCATCCAGCCACCCGCCCACCCCTTAGCACCTCCTCAAATGCAAGAAAATTGATTCGAGAATCCGCATTATTTCTGGAGTTACACTCATGACTCATGACCTGTGCCCGTGCCCGCCGGCTGAAGCCGAAGCGGCTGCCCCCGCTTTGAGTGACGGGGCGGGCGCGTAGGTCGCGGGCCACCCCCACGCAAGAGTGGGCGGAGGGCGTGCGTAGCAAACCTGGTGGGCTGCGGAACCAACTAACCTGCCACACTGCACACAGAACGCGGGCTAGACTTTCTCAAGCGCGTGGGTAGCCGACACCCGCAGGCAGCCGAAACCGACGAAATGTGAGAGTGGGCGCTGTAGTCCGCGTCATCTATACACGGACCCAGCCAGAAATGAAAATTGTATCGACGTCGATACGATGTCAATTTTACCTCGATCCCTCGATTTGCGTGACAAAAGTATACGTTTTTCGAGGTACGTGGACTTCGATCGAATTCCAGCTCTGGGGATGCATACGGGCCCCGAAACCGACTCACTTCAACTCTGAAGCAGACATCTCTGCGGAAACATACTTGCGGCGCTACCACGTCCGCTTTGATTTTTTACTCGGAAAACCTAGTAACGCTGCACGGTGGTGACGTCAAACGCCCCCATGCTAGAAAGGAGTCATGGGGCAGGCCTAGTGCTGGGCGTGTCAGGAGCGCCCACCTTTGGGGCAGATGTTTGTAATTATTCCTATTTCTGTTATCGGCGTTGCGCTGGAATATGGATGAGAGCGACTTTTGAGAAGACGGGGAAAGGGGCCAGCCAGGTCGTGTGGGGGGCGGGGCGTGGGGTTCAGGGGGCTGCGGGTCGGGGGCGGGGCACCCCTGCAGGCTCTCTTTTGTCACTCCTATCAGGTTTCTCTTCTTTCTGCCTCTCTCAATCGCCCCCACCTACGCCGTACTCTTGAGGATGAACAGAAGAAGCGAGGCCGTTCGCGTCTCCGTGTGGAACATCGAGAAAGAGCGAGAGAGCGAGAGAGCAGGGGGTGAAAGAGAAAGCAAAGGCCCTCAGGCTGTTTGCAAAGTCGCGAGGCCTGCACCATTAGGGCGTGTTGTGATCGTTAAAACGTGCGTACAGCTTGGCTTACACACAATGGACGTGGGCTTTGGCGGGGGAGGGGGCGGGGTATATTGGGCATGGAGGGTGACATTGGCCACCGCGATTCGTTTTATATATCGCGTATTCTGTTGTTTCAACCTATTAGTCTGCCCTGTCCGTCAATAAAACGGCGCGCGTAACACCGCTTTGCCGCGGGCTCGCGTGAGGCGCGGGTGGGCGCAGGGTGCGCCTGCGCGCCGACTCACTGATCGCGGTTTCTTTGTCCCCTCCTCTTTACCGATGCTATGGTGTGCCCGTTTTGTGCCCTTTTACCGCGACATCAGTTCTGCAGATAAATGAATAATGACATGCTTTGGCTCATCGCATTTCCAGAACGCCATTTGCTCGTCAGTTCGTTACTGCCCCGAGGCCCCATTTCCACGCTGTACAGTGTAAATTATTTTTGATGCTAGGTCTGCCTAGCCGTGGTGGTGCTGCTGGTTGTTGGTGGTGGTTGGTGGCAGTTGTGGCCCTCGTAGAGGCTACGGCTGGCTGAGGGATCGCCCCCCATCCCCACCCTATTTCTCTTCATCACCGCCCCGCTCCTTCGCCCGCGGTAGGGCAGCTGCTTGCGTGCAGCTGCCGCAGCTCTCTTCGCGACCGAGGCCGTATCGTCTAAGCTAGGCGGTGCTCCAGCCGCAGCTGCAGCGTCCGTGCGATGCTGCCTCCGCCCCTCCATCTCTCTCTGCTATTTCTCTCTTTCTCTCCCGTACTCCTTTTAAGAGCCAGGCTGGCTTGCTCTCTGCACCGTAGTGAGGTCGGCGGCCTCGCACCTGTGGCTCACAGGTAAAAATGCCGCCTCGGAGCACCACGCTCACCATGAAACTATTATTCATGCAGCAGCGCCTATGGGATACTTTTTATCCTCGCGCTCGATTTTCCTCTACGTGAAGATCAGTGGTGTTTTCCCGCATGGTCGGTTTAATCGCTATCGAGCACACTCCTCCCTCCCCCGAGACTCCCTACCCTTCTCCGTCTCATCGGCACTGGGGCAGGACCCCTTCCCTCCCTACGGAGTTCTCTCGCTCGCTCCCCTCCCCCCTCCCTCACGCCCGCTTCCCATCGCAACATTACAGATAATCTTAATTCTTTAACCGGACATGGCAAATTCCCGTTGGGGCAAACCGACCTTGCGCTGAAACGCCTCGGAGGTTGTCTGTTAGGGGCCGTTCACAAATTACGTCACGCAAATTTCGGGCGGTTTTGACTCCCCCCCTCCCCCACGTCACGCGGCTAACCTAACCTTCTTATGCTTTCAGGATAGGACCGTCACGCGGGCAGTGACCCCCTCCCCCCCGTCAGATGCGTGACGTAATTAGTGAACGGCCCCTTAGTGACCAACGGTCGGGTCTATTTCTCTGCACTTTGGCCCGAAAAGTTCTAGCAGTGTCCTCCCCGTCTGCTCGCCCTTCACTCCAACCTCGTAGCTGCCATCCCTGCCTCCTTTATTCCCAGTCGTTACTCTGGGCTGGACCAATCTTAGTCCGATATCGTATGGCCAGAGGGCCGGAGGGAGGGAGAGAGCGAGCGAGTGATGAGAAAGAATTAAGGGTGAATGGGCGTTTGAAACTAGTCATTTCCGATATTGTCGCTGCTCGAGACGAATCGGGTATGTGAGGTCGTTAATACCGCTGCGTGCCAATAATCGGCCCCGTGTTATTGAACCATTATCTGAAGAGGCCAGGGCGTGCTGAGGCCTGCTTGACCTCGGCGGGGGCCGCGGCCGGCCATTGAACTGGGGCGGCACGAGCGCAGGAGCCGTACACTGGGCTCGTTCTTGAAAGGTGAGCGAGTTTAACGGCTCCGGCTCGCGGCATCCCATTCGAGAATCGAAACGCAACGAGGACCCCTTTTTAAGAGTCGATGGCTCGCTCGCGATGTTGATTATCACAAACGGGATCACAAATTAAACGGGCGCGAACCGTTTGGGTGGAACTTTGTAATCCCGCCGTTTGCCGTTGTCGATAATTTACACTCCACTACGGCTGGAGGACGGATACCTGCAAAACGTAATTACTTAATGTCAACGTAACGTGGGTTCCCTCGCGCTTTTCAGTCTATAGTGAGTAACCTGTGGTGCGCATTGACCCGCCCATCCGAAATAAGTGGTGCAAAAAAGAGAAAGGAAAAGAAAAAACAAGAGACCAGCTGGGAAGAGCGAGCGTTTGCCGGCAGGCGAGGCTCATCCAAGGGTCTTTCTACACGCACGCACACAGCGACGCGTTACACTCACTGCGCCTCCGAAAAGGTTTCGCCCCTACTACATGATGACTACCCCTCGCCCACCACCACCACCACTACTACCTTATCCTTAGCCTGCCTCTCCCCCTAATGGCTTTGGCTTTATGTCGGGTCCGGTCGGCTGGATGGTAGTCACGTACGCCACTACTACCACTACTACTACTACTACTACTACTACTACTACTACTAGTAGTGGTAGTAGCAGCAGTTGCGGCGGCAGGAGGAGACCACCACCCCCTTGATCTGCCCGCCTGTGCCACCTAGCCCCGTAGGCCATAGGTCGCTGGTGAGCGGATCAAAGCTGCAACCTTCAACGCCAGCAGCTGATCCCCGTTCCGCCTGGATCGTGCGGTGGCCGTGCTTATGGACCATTATTATCACTCTCGTCGCCTTACTTATGTTCGTTATTTCGCTCGACTAATTAGCGCAGCATCTCTGTT